AGGCCATGACCTCTAGAGATGCTGCCTTTTGGAAGGAAGCTATAAATGATGAAATTGATTCAATAATGTCAAATAACACATGGGTACTAGTAGACTTGCCTCTAGGATCAAAACCAATAAAATGTAAATGGGTGTTTAGAAGAATATACAACACTGATGGAACTGTACAAACTTTTAAGGCTAGATTGGTAGCCAAAGGGTTTAGTCAAAAGGAAAGGATTGATTACTTTGACACCTATACACCAGTGGTTAGAACAACTTCTATTAGAACATTCATAGCATTAGCATCCATTTATCACTTATCTATTCACCAAATAGATGTTAAAACTGCTTTCTTAAATGGTGATTTAAATGAAGAGGTTTATATAGAACAACCAGAAGGATTTGTTCTTCTTGGAAATGAGAAGAAAGTCTGTAAACTGGTTAAATCACTATATGGATTAAAACAAGCACCTAAACAGTGGCATGAGAAATTTGATTCTTGCATTCTAGCTTTTGGTTTTAAACATAATAGTGCTGATAGATGCATCTACTCAAAATTCACTAAAAATTGTGGAGTAATTGTATGTCTTTATGTTGATGATATGCTTATTGTGGGTACAAATATGGTTGGCATAAATGAAACTAAAAACTACTTATCCTTTGTCTTCAAGATGAAAGATTTAGGAGAAGTAGATACCATCTTGGGAATAAAAGTTAAAAAGCATAATAGGGGCTATGCATTAAGCCAATCACATTATATCGAGAAAGTACTTGAGAAATTTAAGCATTTAGAATTTAAAGAATATAGCACGCCATATGATTATAGTATAAAGCTAGTAGAAAACATTAGTAGAGCAATTGCACAACTTGAATATGCTAGTGCAGTAGGAAGTTTGATGTATGTTATGCTTTGTACCAGACCTGATATTGCATTTGCAATAAGTAAACTCAGTCGGTTTACAAGTAATCCCGGTGCAGAGCACTAGAAGGCAATTGGGAGAGTTCTTGGGTATCTCAAGAGAACCTTGGAACTTGGCTTGTTTTACTGTGATTATCCAGTTGTACTAGAAGGGTACACTGATGCAAGTTGGATTACCGGTAATGGAGATAACAAGTCCACCTCTGGATGGATTTTCGTCCTTGGTAGGGGTGCGATCTCTTGGGCATCCAAGAAACAAACTTGTATATCTCACTCGACCATGAAATCCGAATTCATAGCCTTAGCAGCTGTTGGAAAAAAGAGGCTGAATGGATTAGGAAATTATTATTGGATATAAAACTTTGGCCTAGTCCTATGCCTCCAATTTCCATTTACAGTGTATTCTGGTTTGCCGTCGTCGCTTGTGTTTGTGTTCGAACGGGGGAAGAGTATGAACAGTGTATTCTGTCGAATGAAGAAGAAAGGTATGGTTAAATATTAGGGTACAAGGGCAATTTTGTAATTTTTGGAAACTCGGGGTATTTTTGTAATTTTGGGAGAATTGAGTCAAACCGGGTCTGGGTGGTCAAATCGAGGTTTTTTGGATGAATGGTGGGGATTTTGGGTCAGAAAATGGAGGGTTGAGATGGATCTAACTGTAGATGGGGGCTCTGTGTGTGAGGGCTAACAGGATTTACCGAAATGGAATCTTTTTAGAGGATGGAAGGGTTAACGAGGGAAATTTTGGCCAAAATTTTGTAGGATGGGGTTTTTAGGCATTCTGAGTTGATAGGTGGGGCTAGATTAGCCCAACTGGGCTTGGATTGGGCGGATTTGGAAAGGGTTCAATTCGGTTAATATGGAGGCTCAAAATGGAATATTTGTGTGAAATTTCTCTAAGTGGGGTTTTTGGGTAGTTTGAGATGATCGGTAAAATTAGATTGAGCCAACTAGGCCCGGATCGAGCAAATTTAGAATCTAATCAATTTGGAACCTCGAAATGGAATCTTTGTGTAATCTAAGGTAAATGAAGGTGTTTTGGGCTGAAATTTCATATGTAGGGTTTTTTTTTTGGTATTTTGGAGTGATTGGAAAAGTTTGTTTGGTCTAGATGTATTCGGATCAAGTGGATATGGGATGTGGGTGCGAGAATGGTCGAAATGGAATCTTTGTGTGATGGACGGGTGAACGAAGGTATCTGGAGTTCACATTTCATGGGTAGGTGTTTTAGGATGTCCTAGGTCTGATGGTTGTGTTTGATCTACTGGTTGAGGTGTAAGTGAGGGTCGATCGGGGTCATCGAATAGGTATCAAGCAGATTTAACGGTGGATCTAAGGGCTTTCGGGGTAAAATTTGGGCTTTCTAGGTTTTTGGGTGTTTCAGAAAAATTAGAAGGATCTGATCAGATGTTTGGGGTGAATTAGAGGCTCAATCGGCAAACCAAATGGGCCGATTCGAACCTAGCCATTCATCAAAGGGGATTCGGACCTAGCCATTCATTGCCTAAAGGATTGTCTTTTTTTTTTTTTAAGATCAATAACACTTTCATTAAATCATCAATAGAAGACTTACAAGAGGAAGACAAACACACTTATCTTCCAAGAGCAGCAAAGAACCTCAAACAAAGGAAAAAAATAAAGAAAAAACACTATAATTACAGCTTAATCCAAAACAGTGAATCCCTTTCTGCCCCTTGTTTCCCTAGAGGATTGTCCTTTCCTTTGCAACATTACAAATATCATTTCAAAATGCTTACAAGGCGAGAGCTTTTACTTCCCTTAACGGACCGATTCTTGTAATCCTTGTAATCTCCCGAAGGATCTCATTTTGATTTGGGGGCGTGAAAAAAGTTTGGTTTCTGTTTTATCTAAAAATAAATAAAAAAAACAATAATCCTCGTTAAGCATGAGATTTTCCAAGCTCCATTTATGGCTATTGCTCTGGTGGTTGGGACGTTTAAAGATCAAAACTTTACGTCTCTTTTGCGGTTCTGAAGTTTGTACTTTTGATCATTACATGTATTTGGAGCTGCCCAGGTCTAAAAGAGAGCCTGTTTTTTTGTTCACTTGTGAGTGGAGGATAAGGTATGAAGCTCTTTATGCTGCGCACCGCCGTGGCGACTCCTCTGAGATCAATCCGTAGAGCTTCTTTCTGTAGTTCTACTTTGAAATGGGAAGGTGGAGTTTCTATGGTGCAGGGGGCTTCGAGAGGAATTGGATTTGAATTTGTGAGATTTTCTTTTTATAATTCCACATTTTAACTGAACTTCTAGTTATATTGTTTGTTGTACAAAATCGGTAATTGGTTTGCCATTATCTGGTTAACATTCTTATATATATATATGTTATTTTGTTTACTTGTTTCGGAGAGTTATGGTTATGGTTAATTGCAGATTTTGTTGGGCATTTTAATTTAGCTTGTTAGATAGTTTCATTGTTCTAATTCTTTGAGTTAAGCATTAACCTTATTTTTGTAATGAGATTGGGAAACTTGGTAGTGGGTTCTTGATTTTAAATATTCCGTTTTTTCTCCTTTGTGTGTGTGTGGGGGGGGGGGTGGGTTGATTTAATGGTGTTCTTTCTGATTGCCCTCTCTAGAATTGACTCAGTTTGATGCTTTGTGCATTCCCATTGCAGATTTCCTACAATTTAACCGTATAATGAGGTTGGGATAATTACTTTGTCGGTTCTTGATTTATGCATATCGAGTTTGTTTGTTTTGAGTTGATTTTGTAGTCTGTAGGTTCTCTGATACCTAATAACATAGAAAGTGCCCTTAAACCTCACCTGACCTTTGGGGATAAAGGAACTTATAGATCCCTTCCATTACTTTTAGGTGGACAAAGAGTATGAATGACCATTTTGCCTTAGAAAGACACTATTCATCATCTTCCCTGTTTGAACACAGGCCACCGAACCACAGAGCACTGAGCTCCAGCCCTCCTCCTCCTCTCCCTCTCTTTCTCTCTCTCAATCTCTCTCTCTCTCTCTCTCTCTCTCTCCACTTTTTCCTCTTTTTTAGTTTTCTTCTTTCAAAGCTGGTTCTCTCTATGCTAGCTTTTATGCTTTTCAAAACCAGTCTGAGTAAGATTATGCAACAGATTTGCTGGGGAAAAAGATGGTTGCACAAAAATGCCTTTCTCATGTGAGCAATTACAAGTGCCAAGTTGGGTCATTGAACATGGAACAATGAAAGTGGTTGGTCTGACTACCTAATCAGCTTTACCAGCTATCTGCAAACCTTAGCATTCCCTTACAATTTCACGAGCCCAGTTGAACCAACAATAGAATACCAAACCCATCCAAACCACCTACTTCCCCACCTGGAAAACAAAGAGGAAATAAATAAATAAATATTCCAAAAGATTAATTGAATAGGGCATTCCCGTTACATATTTTTGAATACCCTACTCAATTAAGCTCTGATTCAGTCTCTCATAGAAGTTTCAGAGCATGAGCCATAATGTTTTGCTCGTTAGCAAGGGGAAGTGGAAAGAACTTCCTCCTTAAGGATTCCACATCATCAGTAATAGGCAATAGTGGATCAAATGGGTTCCTGTCTTGCATTTTGCTACTTGTTTCCAAGATTGTAATACCTGCATTTTTTTTATAATCAATGTAATACCTGCATTTCATTACTTGCATTTTAAGATTTTAATATGAATAGATTTCACATTATGAAGGAGTTAAGCTTGATTTTAACATAGGCAATAGCCAACACTAGAAGGGTCCAAAAGAGTTTCTTAGAAACTGCAAGGGGTGTTCAGGAGGTTTTCCATGGCCAAAACAGAGATTTTCTTTGTCTTCACTGTAGTCTCATTTCTTTCATTAAGGAAGAGGTAAAAGTTTCTCTTAGGGGTATTTCTGTCATCAAATACCATGATATAGCAATTTCTGTTAGGTTCTTAACATCACACTAACAGAGGGATCTATAAGTCCCTTTGTCCCCAAAAGTCTGGGGAGGTGTAAGGGCAGATTAAAGTTTGTGGGAGGTTTAAGGCCTTTTGAGACAACCTAGGGGAGGTTTAAGGGGTATACCCATAAAGCAAACAGTAGATATATCTGGATATACAAGGAATGTATCCCTACATCTGTACAGAAAACATCTCAGTGTTGTAACCCTACTCCATACAGAGTTTATATTAAATGAAGATTTCACTCCAAAGGATACTCACCCCAAATTAATGTCTGCCTATTTTCTCCTTTCCATGCTAGGGAGTCTGAAATTGAGTTCGCTGCTCTAAGAGTCCAATTACAATTAGCTCCCAAGGTGTTCACTATAGATTTTGCTTCTTTGATTTGATTTCTGAACTGCAATGGTCTTATCTCCTTTTGGCCAATTTATAACCACCTATTCCTCTTCTATAATCCATCTCCCTTCCCAATGTTTAGCCCTTGAAGCGGTGTTTGTAATTCAGCACTTATGGAGTTATCAACCTCAATTGGACCAGCACAAGCCAACAAATTTCTCTTTATTGATTTCTGAAAGCACCTCCCATATCTGAAGGCCCTGAGTTGCCTAGGTTGCACCCATCAAAGTTCAATTTTATCATTATTGAAGGTGGTAGGGAACCAATGAACTGATGGCTTATCTCTTTTATAGGATTTGTTATCACTTACCGCCCTCTAAGGATTTCATCCTTTTACTATATAGAGAATTCTTCTAGGTTATTACTGAATGGATGACTCTTTGGATTGATATTTGTCTAAAACAATCCTGGCATTTTTCTCTTTGCATATCATCCATTGGATGGTTGCTTTTGTGAATATCCACAAAATCTTCCCCTTTTCTTGGTGGGGAGAAGGAAGGTTGAAATAGAATTTCTATGTATTGAGGCTAGAGATAGGATGTGTAGTACAAGATCTCCTACTTTCTAACAAGCAATTGGGTAATGGGTGGTCTATATTACAAATAGGAGATGAATCTAGCAATGGGGAAGAAAAATTGGGAAGAGCACGACCCTTTCTATGTGTATACATTTGTTTTACTTCACAAAATGTGGTGTATGGAATGGACCTATTGTAGCATCAAACTCCATAGGAATAAAAGGAGCATTAACAATGTACTAGAAAAATCAGCACCATCATTAAAGTAACATCAAGGCGTACAAATGATTTCATTAAGACAGAACTATAACACTTATATCCTATCTAGTTCCTAAAATAGACAAGAAAGACACATTTAATGGATCATAAGTCCAACTTGTCAGTCCTTGGCCCTAGATGTTGAACAAAACAAATACATCCAAATACCCTAGGAAGAAAATGGAATAGAGATGAAGTGGGGAACAAAATGGAAAAGGAGACTAGCCATCAAGAGTAGAAATAGGCATTTAATTTTTAAGATAACGCGTTGGGTGTTTGAGAATAGGTAGCATTAACAAGAAGGATTTAGCTCTACTTGGGAAATTGTTTTGGAGGTTTCCGAGGGAGATTGAAAAGCTGTGGTGAGCTTACATGGGCTCTCAGAGAATGGCTGGGATGCTAGTGTTCTGCGTAGAGCTACTCTAGCCTCTTCTTGGAAGGCCATACATTGTACTCTTCCCCTGTTTCTTAATCACATCAGGTTTGACCTCTCTTCTAGTAACAAGACTAAATTCTGAGATCTTTGGATTTGGGGAGTCCATGTTGAAAGAAGTGTTTCCTTCTCTTTATACCCTCTCAATCTTAAAAATAAACCCATCTCTGAGTTTGTACTTCTTCTTCTTTGCCCCATGGTTTTGATTGGAATTTGGGTCTTAAGTGAAATCTAAGAGAGTCTAAATTTGTTCTTGCTTCAAGACTTTTGAATTTTCTAGATGGGGTGGTTCTTGATAACCCAATTGGGGATAAACGTATTTGGGTCCCTAACTTTGCTGTTTTTTTCCTTGTGGCTCTTCTTTTGATATGTTGGTCAAGGTCACTCCCCTCTCTGGGTCCTTTCCTGTGAAGGAAGTCTGGTATGCTCCTATTCCTTCAAAAATCAGTGCTTTCTGTTCAGAAGTTTTCCATAGGAGATCAACACTTGTGGCCATTGCAAAAGAAATCAGCAAGAATAGAAAAAAATACCTTTTGAAGGAGCTGCATGAATATATTAAGCAGCCAACCCTGCATCCCATCCATCAGTCACTAAACCATGAATACTCTTGATAACTCCACAACTGTTTGCCCAATAATGCATTATTTTTAATTACTAGCTTCCAACAATACCCAAATCCCCTCCCTACTATTGTACACTAAATCCCAATTTGTTAAATATTCCGTCCTTCTTAGAAGATCTAGACTCCAATAGAAAATCCCTCATCGATATTTCTAGCCTCTATGCAACCAGAACTAGGATTTTAAACATTGAGAGGTAGTAAATTGGCAGGTTGGTGTGCATTGCCTTAATCAAGGTGATCCATCCCCATAAAGAATTATAATTTTCTTTATCCATGTTGATAATTTTTTAGTGAAATGATCCACAGTCGGGTTCCGGAAACTCAAGGACTTAGGATTGCCTTAATCAAGGTCATGCACCTTAATTCCTCAGCATACCTTTCTAGCACTGCCTCTTCTATATTTACCCCATGATGCTGCTCTTCTCCAGATTGGCTCTCAAATTTGAAATCTTTTCAAAGCACTTTATAAACCTCTGAATTTTTTCAGTCCTTCCTCACCAATGTCCTTACAAAAAGATAACGATATCATCTGCAAACTGCAGATGTGTTACCACTGTGTTCTCTTTCCGAAGCCTCCACCCCTGCACTAAGCCAAAACTATCTCCCTTGGTAGTGACTAGTGAGTCTCAAGTGAAAATTTTCAAACCTCTTTATTACCTTTGCTAGATCCTTAAACAGTGAGAAAAAGTGGACAATAAATTGGCAAAGTTAGAGTTCTGTCAATAAACATCAAGAAAAGGGAAATACTTTCTTAGCTTATCAAAAAAAAAGGGGGGAAGTACTTTCTTAGTTATCATAGCCTGATAAAGGTAGGAAAAAGGTCTTTTAACCAAGTATTTATGTATGTTCGCATGCATATACTTGCTTAAGTAGTCATTCTTGACACATATGAGGTGCTTCATGTAATGCATTTTCATTGTTTTTCTGATTTAACATGTGTAAAATCAGTGTGCTTCATGATTTGGTGGTGTTCCCTATTACTACACTATTTTGTAGCTTAAAGTAATTATAGTATTTTTCTGTCATTTTTTTCTGACATCTGCTAGATATACCTTGAATTTTTTAGTTGATTAGCCCTATTTATGTTAATACTCCTCTGACATAGTTTTTTAACATGCTTATTGCTTCTCAGGTTAGGCAGTTACTGGAGAAAAATAATAAAGGGCATGTTATTGCTACGTGTCGGAACCCTGATGGAGCAACAGCACTATTGGAGTTGAAAAGGAAGTTTGAGGAACGCCTCAGCATACTAGAGTTGGATGTCACAAATGAAAACACCATAGAGGCAATGCCCTGCTTTTCCTTCTGAACACTTCAAACCTTTTCTCTGCTATGCCATGAAAGGTTGAAGGCAAAACATGATCTTAGTTTTATTTTCCATTAAATTCAGCTTCTTAACAATATTAGTTTATGCAAGTCTTGATATTGTAGAGAAGAGGGGTAGTTTTGTCATTTTACTCCTTGTATGTATATTTTTGGGCATGTACTCTATAGTTCTGATTTGTACATTCCTATATTTTACCTCTTTTGAAGGACAATCCTGTCCATTTACTATTTAATATAAATACAACATTTCTGGGTTGGATTGATCAAGACAGACCAACTGAACAGTCTCTCTTCTTTGATGTTTCATCTCTTTCACTCTTCCTCTTGCCTGAACTGACATGGTATCAGAGCAGTTTGCTCTATGATATCTTTTTGTTCATTAGTCTCTCAAGATCTGCTGTTTTCTTGACTCTACGGTTAGTGTTAGGGTTGTTTTGATCAACCCTAAGATTTGTTTTCTCAGTTCTACAATTTCAACAAGAGAAATCTTATCAGATCTCTCTTGACAGAAATCTATTCAAAGTGAAACTTCATCGAGTTTGAACAAGTATTGAAGGAGTTCTGATCTACTCTCTTGGGTGGCAATAAGTTTTTTGTTCCTTTTTTGGACTGTTTCCTCAGTTTCAAGTGTTCCTGCATGTTTGAACAGTTTGTTGTTGATTGTAAGAGTTTTCTCTCCTTCCTTTCTGTCTTTTGATTAATCTTGGTACTCAAACTGCTTGTTCTATTGGATTTCATCTGTTATCTATTGATTATGGGACCTGAGAAAGCTGAAATTATACCAGTCGAGTTTGACGGAAGCAACTATGCTCTATGGAAGTTTCGCTTCCAGTATTTTGTTGAAGGAAATGAGTTGTGGGGCTATATTGTTGGTTCTACAATATGCCCGATGCTAGTGATGTAAACGGGTTGAAGTAGTGGAAGATTGAGAATGCTCAAGTTGTCTCTGGGATTCTGGGCTCTGTAACTATTGATGTTGCTATTCCAATGAGAGGTCTTAAGACACATGGCATGTTCAAATACCTTGAGAAGGTTTATCAGTAGTTGAATATGTCTAGACAATATCAGATTGAGCTGGACATATTTTTTATCCTGAGGTGAGAAAAGAATACAAGAATATTATGCTGGCTTTGCGAATCTTCTGATTGAATATGAGCTGGTTCATTTGGGGGACCTATATTCTAACTGTTGTGAAAGCAATGAAGAGTCAATTTGTTAAGAGAAAATCTATGCACTTCTTGGTGCATCTCCATTCTGATTATAAGACAGTAAGGTGAAACATACTAAGTAGGGAAAATGAACCAGACTCGGACATGATCCTTGGTGAGTTATTAAGAGAGGAAACTCAACTTATTACTCAGTCCTCTCTTGATAATAAGAAAGAACATGGCATAGATGCAATTCTTTTTGGCTACCAAACAAAAGGGGAAGGACTTCTCGAAGGTATAATATTATGAGTTTGAAGATTTTGGGCATTTTGCATATCACCATAAGAAAAATTTTTGCACCTACTACAAACAACGAGGACATATTATTGTTGAATGTCCGACTAGACCTCCTAAGAAAGGACAACATAAGGCTTTTCAGGCCTTTTCTGAATCATCTGATGCTCCTTCCTCTAGTTTAGCTCTCAAGATTGATTCCCAAGGTTCTTTATCTGAAGATAAGATTTACCAACTCATGTCTTGGGATATTTCCTCCGCTTTTTCTGGTATTGGTCTGACCATGGTTCAAAGTATTGATACACCTTTGTGTAACAGTAGAGGTGTACGGTGCTTTATACAATGCGCTTTTTATTTTTTTAGCTTTTTTCATAATTTTATTTTATAAATATTTTATATTATTTAATAAATAAAATAGATAGGTTCCTAAAAACACCTTTAAATAGGTGTATCCATAGTTTTCAAGGCACCAAGGCAAGGTAGGCAGGTTCCTAGGCAATGGATTCTTTTATGTAGAAAACATAGATCCTAGGGTAGTTCCCTAGGTACCATAACCATACTTCCTTAATAATTATTCATAATTTTCTTAACAAAAGTATAGAGTTCATGTTAAAGTATAGAAAATCAACATATTCATGAGAAGAAAAAGAAGAAGGAAAAGAAAATTCAAATAATATAGAGGCTGAACCCTTATTTTTGTTATAGGAAAAGAAGAAAAGAAAAAGTATAGTAGTAGTAGTAGTAGTAGTAGAAGAAGAAGAAGAAGAAGAAAATGTGTTGATTAGACAAAATTTTAAGTTCTTCCTTACTTATTGGATCAAGTTTTTAAGTTTTTAAGGGTTCAATACAACAGTTAGCAATGTTTGTGTTGATTAAACCCTAACAAATAAGAAAATAATAAAAAGAAATTAGTATATAAACATACAAATGAATATTTTAGTTTAAAAATGTCTATTTTATAATTATAACCTCAAAAAATTAAGAATATAAAAGTTTTTTACATGCTATAGAAAACTACTTGGCGATTAGGCGAGGCCAGCCTCCAAGGATGCCTTGTCACCTAAGCGTCGCCTTGACAACAGTGGGTGTATCGAAACCTTGCTGATACGATACGATATGCCTGGTATGGAGTGTATTATATCGAAATTTTGAACATTGGGTCTAGCCGGTGAGTCTTTTGACTTATGCTCCTCTCCTCATATGTGGGTTATTGATTCTAGAGCCTCAAATCACATGACTACGGCTTCCTTTGGTTAATCTCCTAAATCTTACACCTCAAATAATCACATTGTTACTGCTAATGGTGAAACTCTTCCCGTTTATGGTTGTGTTTACTTCCCAATCTACTTCTCTCCTTCTTCATAGGGCCTTTTTTGTACCAAAGTTAACTACTAACTTAATCTTGGTTGGACAACTTGTTGATGATGGTAACGATGTTCTATTTTCTTGTGATGGTTGCTTTATTCAGGATCAACACACTAGGAAGTTAAGGGGGAAGGGGCATAGAATTGGAATTGTTTTTTTGTTAATTCTAGTGCTTCTTCTACTTCTTGTCATAATGTGTGGCGCTTATGGCATAGACGTTTGGGTTACACTCATGCTAAAAACTTTGATTATATGTTTTCCTTTGGTTGTTTGCCTATTACTAGTTCTTAAATTAAGAATGTTGATAAATCTTGTTTACCTTATTGTTATAGTAAAAGTCACGTTTTTCCTTTTCCTTCTTTTGAGCATGATTCTACTCCTTTTTGTCTTATTCGCAGTAATGTCTGGTCGTTTCCTGTTATTTCATGCTTGGGTTATAGATACTTTGTGTGATTTTTTGATGATTTTACACTATACATGGGTTTATTTTCTCCATAAGAAATCTAAAGTTTTTCCCACATTTAAAATTTTCATGCCATGGTTATGATACAACTTAAATCTATTATAAGCATTTTGTGGTCTGATTTAAGGGGGGAGTACTTTGATGGTGAGGATGGTGAATTTCAAAATTATTTGAAGCAATATGGTATTCAGTCCTAGAGATCTTGCTTGGGTACCACTCAACAAAATGAGGTATCTGAGCGCAAGAATCATCACATTGCTAGTATGGTGAGATCCCTTTTGCATGATTCACATGTCCCCATTACCTTCTGGTGGAGGCGACCAACACTACTGTGTACCTTACAATATTCTTCCTTCTTTTGTTCTTGGCAACTCATCTCCTTATCAGTCCTTGTTTCATTGCCCAGTAAACTTATCCATGCTCTATGTTTTTGGCTATATTTGTTTCGTTCACCTTCCTCATGAACGCATTAAGCTAATTGCTCAATCAGCTATGTGTATGTTCATGGAATACGGTCCAGAGATAGTAGAACAAGTAGTACAAACACCAAGAACAAATATAGTGCTGAAAAAAGATACAAGAAAACCCTTTGTAGCCAAAGAAGCTGTTCGAACTACTAAGGAATAAGTAACAGTGAGAATTGTCTAGAAAAGGAAAGAAAAACCTACTACCACCCAAGTGAGATCAGAACTCCCTCAATACTTGATTAACACTGGTGTAACTTTCAGTGAATGTGAATCTGGACTGGGCAACACACACTCTATGCAGTTTCACAATGATCTGAGATCTCCTAAGAGAGATTTAATCAAAATTTCCTTGCTGAATGCACAGAAGAGGGCAAATCGACTCTAGGGTTTATCAAAACACCTCCAAAACCAATCTCAAATCAAGAGGAAGAGCAAATATTGATTTTTAGACTGAGAAAGAATGTATCAGAGAGCAACCTCACTCTAAGACCATGTTAGTTCATGCAAGAGAAAGAGAGAGAGAGAGAAAACACAAGAGAAGAGGGACTGTTCGGTTCGTCTGTCACAGTCGACCCAACCCAGAAGGATGAATTTATATTAGTAATAGTAACTGGACAAGATTGTCCTTACAAAAGAAATAAAATACATGATTGTATAACTGAACATTATAGAATACGTGTCCAATAAGATACATGCAAGAAGGAATAAAATGACAAAACTACCCCTCTTCTCTACATTGATGCTTATGCCTCTAGCTTTTGCTAGAGAGATTGTTGTACCCCATTATTACACTCACATTGAGTGGTTTTCCACATAAATCTTGGTGCCCTCTATTGTTGCTTGCTTTTGTGTTTGATTATTTGTCTCTCTCTCACTATGTGCTTCCCATTTGTTGTTAAAACTTTTTGATTTGCACAAGGAAAACATTGGGATTTATTCCTAACAAACCCTTGTCACCTACGCATTTTATTGACAACTATGCTTTCAAGTTCTCTTTTAATCTACATTAAATTACAAGTTCCATCTTATTTGCATCCTAAATGTCCATTAGGTAATGTGCTTTTTCTCTGGATACATTAGGAAGTTGCCTTCCTAACTCAGTTTTTTGGTTTTGCATCCAATAAATTTAGGAGAAATTGTGTATGTGTACTCCATTTCTCTCCTTACTTTCCAGTAGGATGTTGTTATTTTCCCACAATGACTAGTGGAGAGGTAAAATTGAAGTTCAGTTCTAGCTCTATTACGAGCCTCATTCCAAAAACTGGAACTTTAGCAACCACTGCAGGTGAACCCAAGGCCAAGGTGGAAATTATGTTGACTGGATTAAGCATAGCCAATCATCTAATATTTGTCTTTGTTAATGGAACTCAAGGGATATTATGTTACCAAAGAGTAGGCAAGGAGCCCATGAAGGCTATCTGAACTTCTAAATGAGGTAAAATAGCTGCTATCATCCCTTTTTTTACAACTTAGGTGGATTAGCTCAACTCCAGAGTAATGGTCTAGTGAAACCAGGGGTGAGAAGGGAAGGGTTGTTTTGCTACTGAAGGCTCAATCTTGTGGGTTTTCATTTGGCAGGGGAAGTACTGTAGGTTTCTTGAGGTTGAATCTTTACGTGGTCATATTGGAAAATAATATATTATTTTTTATCTGAGTGTTAATTACATTTGGTTCTTTAGTTCCACACTCATAGGTTTCTCTTTGAGACATCTATATGCTTTCTCATGACTACCTAGAGTTGTCTGTTTCAAACTCATTATGTCTTTCATTAAACTAATTAACTTGCTATTTATTGCAGTTTGGTTCTTAAGATGCCTCTTAGTGTTAAATTTATGGGTGACCTGATAGAGCATCTTATTTCAGGCTTCAGCAAACTTCATCAGAAAAAGATATGGTTCCCTCAACCTTCTAATTAATGCATCTGGCATTCTTTCAATACCTGATGTATTGCAACCAGGTTCGGATTTCACATGTTTTGTTGCACTTGTAGTTCCATATAAATGGAAAGGAGCTAAGTATTTGAGAAATTAAAATAGGATCTCTTCCCTAACCACTAGGTTAGTCTAATTCTCTTATTCTTATCTCTTCTGTGCTCATGTCAGACTTGTTTTTATCTCCAATACAGAAACAACTTTGAGTAAGGTGCAAAAGTCATCTTTGATGTATTCTTTTGAGATTAATGCAGTGGGCCCTATATTAGTAATCAAGGTAACAATGCTAATTTTCCTATTTTATATTTGATATGTTATTTTCTTTTACCATTTATATTCGATAACTACAGGTACAGTTGTCAATTATCTATATACAAATGTCCAAAATTTATTTAATTTCCAAAATTTGGGCTTCCAAAAGCTTTTCTTTCCAGCTTTTTCTGGTTTAGGTCAGACTAGTTTTTCCACCTTTTAGTGAGCTAATTGTTTTATATGGCTAATTCACAATTTATGATCCTGGTTAGCACATGTGGCCTCTTCTAAAATTGGGTGGACACTCGGGGGCAGAAAGAGATGTTGCTATTGTGGCAAACCTGAGTGCAAGGGTAGGCTCCATTGGAGATAATCACTTAGGGGGATGGCATTCATATCGATCTTCAAAAGCAGCACTTAATCAATGTACGTTCTCTACTTTGAATATTCAGTGCACCCCCATTTAAATCTATCTGTTTTCTATTCCATCATTCCTGTTCCAATGATTCACAGTGGAAAAGGTGCAACTTCCTATCTATTTTCTATCTATGTGTTTAGCCATTAAATCCACAGACAACATATTGAAGATTGGTCTGGATAGAACCTAAACACTGGGTGGATTGTAGAGACTATTCTTAGGCTTAACAAAAGGAGAATTCCAGGGTTTGATGTGCTGTCACTGATTGCATGCTCTTATCTCTGAGGCATTAAGTGCATGTTAAGTTTTCAGACCTTCAGGTAGTTGGAAATTTAGATAGCATTGCTGGTTGGATATGCTTTATAGAGATACCAAACTGTTAATAACTTCAAAAATAGAACAGAATACTAATGGAAGTAAAGAAAATGAAGAGCAACAAGCAATTGCATTGTAAGACCTTTGGAATCTCATCTTAACATCTTGTCCATGACTGGAGCCATTTCATTTCATTATATATAAACTTGTATTTATATAGACCTAGGACTATACCCTATTCTTGATTCAGTTGCAATGCAAAAATTTTCCATACCATTCTAGAAAATTCTTGCCATCAATTTGTATTGTTTTATACTTATTTTATCTGATTTGTATATTCTAGAATTCTAGATTATCATTGTTAGAAATATAGGCGGCAGGATGTATCTATCCTTATTTTTCATAATCAGGGGCACTCTTGTAATTTTGCTCTTTATTATATAATAAAAAACTAGGCGGCAATTAGAGGACATAGAATTCTTCTTTCTGTTTGAACCTATTCTTCTCTCCTATTTTCCCTTTTCTTCTCTTTTTTCCTCTCTTGTCTCTCAGTTTTCTGGTTAATTTACTTGTTTATTGGTTTACCTGAGAACATACAAGGTTGTTTTCATGGTATCAGAGCATATTTGATACCTGGTTCAGTCTTAGGTATTTCCTCTACTCTGCAAACAGAGTTTCCATCCTTTGCGCGTAGAAGAAAGTTTTTCTGGGTTTCTGTGACTGATCCGATCAGTGCTTATAGGCTTATATGCCTCACTTTACATCAGTTGGTGTGATTCAAGTGGTGGTTTAGACACCCTTTAGTTGGCAAATTCGAAGAGGGAGGTGTTAATATGCATGTCAGGTCAGGTGAGACTTTCATAGTTTATTGGTGTTGCAATTGAGTGTTCAGGCTGAATTAATAATTCTGGGTTGATAAAGTTTAATTGAATTTCTTGAGATTGGCATCCCTTCAATGAGAAGTTTTGTGTGGTTCAAGTGATTGTTGGTTCTGTGAATGATGAAAACTAGTGTTCTTTTCATGTTTCTGGAATTGTGAGAAGTGGAAAGCATTAGATAGTTGGTAGTCAAGCTATTGCAAAGCTGTGGTGTTCGTAAAAATCCCAACAGTCTTGAATCTTGCCTACAAGGTGTTTGTTTAGTGATCTATGTGTAATCCTCTGATCATCCGATTGACCCTTGACATTTGTAATCAAATTTACCAAGTATTCCTGGACTGGCAGTTCTTGAATGATATGACATATCTATTTTGTGCACTCGTATGAAGTTGTGGTTGGTAAATTGCTGAAATATCCGGAGTAAAGTGTGTTTGGCATTGGAGTAAAGTGGTTGGTAAATTTCTGAGTTCCTGTCAGGCATTGCAGATGGTTGCGTGTGGAGAATAGCTGAATTTTCTCATCTTGAAAAGGAGAAGGATTCAAGGGTGAGGCATGTGGGCACTGAGTCTGGTGCTAATACGATTTGCTTAATCAAACCTGAGTTTGATTTGATTCAACTCCCTGAAAAAACTCATCCTCAAGTTGTACAGTGGCAGAGAATCTACAATTTCCTCAAATCATGAGTTATTAGATCTGTTACTAGTAATTTTTCATGTTCAATAACCATTTGCTTTATTAAATTAAACAAAAGATATATACAAATTTCACAGTCATAGTTCAGAGAGCATGGTGAGAACCATCTGAGGGCAGCCAAGTGCACGAGGCTCCCCCCAATGTGGGGTCTGGGGAGGGACAGATGTACACAGCCTTACCCCTGCACATACAGAGAGGCTGTTTCCAAGATTTGAACACTGGTCACTCAGGTTGCAATGGAGTAATCCAACCGTTGCACCAAAGCCCACCCTCCATGGTGAGAACCATCTGTCCCCTTATATTTTCTTACAGTTGTGCCCAGAACAATTGTTCCCAACCCATTCCTTGTTTAGCTAAAGCATCACCCATGCCATTGAATGATCTTTTCACCCAATGAAATTGTACTTGCATATTCCCTGTTAGGCACATGAATTTTTGATTTTGTTGTAATTTTGTTATTGGTGTCACAAGGGCACTTTGATCCTATTATCTATTTTATGCAATGCCACCTGTACCCTAATATAAATAATATATGAGGCACTGCCAGCCTAGTTTTTTGAGCCTCAAAATATTTCTATCTACTTCTCTTTTCTTCCTCTCTTTTCTCTGATTTCTTCCTACTTTTACTTGAATAATAGAGATTTCATTTCTGTAACTCCTGGAAGTTGTCTCGTTGTTAACTAGCCAAGTAATCACCACCTTGCGATCCCCTTCAATGCTTAAATGTTTCCATTTGTATCTCTTTTGCCCACTGTATTCCCTGTATACTGTTAGGTAATTGTTATGGGCCCGGGAATAGGATCTCGTCACGGGTCGGTCCCCAGGGAAAACCTCATGTTTTCCCTTATTCCTCCATTTTCTTGAAGAACCTATCTTGCTGCCCTAAAGGTGATTTGTTCAAGAGATCACCAACTCTCATTTGCTCTCTTTCTTGACTGAAATTTTCGATATGTTTATTGAATAATATCAGCTCCTTAAATAGGAGTTACAAGAGGTAGAATCCTACTTTTAGGAAGACTCCTTGCTAATCTACTACTCTATCCTATTAAACTGATAAGATAAGA